CGCAGTCAATCGATCCCGATTTGATCTACTCCTGTGCAAGTGTATTCGCTAACGAAGTGAAGTGTGGACGCTGGGGGAGTGCGCTAGTGCATTACAAATTTATGCTGTACATTAACGGACCGTTTTTCTCCACATCTAGGTAATCTTGTTTAGTATGGCAGGAAAAACTCAAGCTTATCAAAAGTGTTGTTTATAATAATTTCGGCATAAAAATAAGGAATGGAAGCGAGATAACCGATCTACCGATGAATGTAAAACGGGAAATTCATTTGGATCTCATCAGAGGGAGCCCTTATCCTCAGAGCAGTATTGGGGACACAACGACAGGTGCAAGTTATAGCTCCAGTTCAACTGCACTCCACCATTTTGGATCATAGCCGCAGTGACGGTGGACTGTGAGCAAGGGAGAAGATAATCGGCATCAGTACTGAATCAGCTGTCCTGGAACTGCACACTCAGTACAATTAGAGGCGGAGTTGTCGGTGATAGACTTGACTATCCTCTCACTGGACGTCTTTTCTCCTCTATCACTCAAAGCATTGCCTTTCCTAGCTTTTCCACCTGTCTCTGGTTCTGTTTTGCTAGGCTAGATTACAGAATGCAGAATGGGGAGTGCAAAATAGTCTGCTATGATTGGGTTACGTGAAAAGGGTGCTCAGGAGAAATGCCCTTAGTTAACAAACCCTGCTCCCGATTTGGCAATCGTGGACTCCTCCAACTTTGAAAAGTGGTCCGTTTTTGATCCAGATGACGGAGTACACATGCAAAGTAGAGAACCCCAGATTAATTCACTCATGATCTTCCCGAGCCCCCTAACATTTCTCAGAGAGCAAATAACTGCCTCCCCATCAATTCGAGGTACTTTTTCAAGTTATTGTTGGACTTCTATTTGTGGCTCTTAGAGTTACTTCCGAAAGACAGTTATGTTAGTTGGAAGACGATTTTCAGTAGTGTTGCGGCGTCTTGAGCTGGACAAGTTACTTGGCAGGTGAGTTGGCATCCCTTACCCGCAGAAAGGACCCGCGCACTGATCAGTTAAATTCGCCTACAATGAGCAACTTAGCAAGGGAGAGGACTGGCAAAGCGGATGGGACCCTGAGAATGTGAATCCTATCCAATCTTCGTAGCGTAACACAACCCTACCATCTATTACCACCACCTTTCCCAAATCACAATTTTTCCGATCCATACGTTACCTGGTGTCGGTGGCAGGTACGGCATCCCCATTCTCTATATTCCAAATGTTCTCAGACATATCGGCGCAAATGAGCGAGATTGCTCGAACAGTATCAGATGATATCGATCAGATTAAGCGATCGATAACACCTATTCCTCTTTGAACAACCTCGGATTTTTCTTGATGACAGCTAATGAAAATTTATAAGGCAAGCAAGGATTTAGCAAAAAGAATGTAGCAACATCAACAGGGGAACTGAGAAGCTCCAAAATCTACATGGACGTATTTGAACTAGAATTTGTTTGAGACAATAGAGGAAAACAGAGGAAACTTCGGTTTTCAATAGTCGAGGTATCTAATCACATTTTCTTTCATTTATTTGACACTTGAAAATTCATTATTTGCAAATAAACAGACTGGATAAAGGATGTGAAAAAAGTTCTTGGCGCTAATCTATCTCGCTTTTGAGATGCGCCCGCACTCGACTTCCACTCAGAATCGTAGTGGCGTTTGGATGAGTAAGGCCTACACAGTGACTTGCGATGGCCAGCCAAAGTACGAGGCATTGTGTTTATCCTCCCAGATGAGCCTGCTATCAACTATCCGACTCAGCTGGAGATGGAAAGCTCGACTGGCCTGGGCGAGTATCGTTCTGAGCTTCCATCTCCAGACCATGTGTGTGTGATACTATGACACTTGTTACTACATTACCTGTAGTGTGTAGCAAATCAGAATGATTTGCAAAAAATTAACTGAAACTAATGGATTTGAAGCGAAGCCGTCAATAAACACGCGTCAGCCATGCAGGACTTTCTGCGCCTCTTGAAAAGGAGTCTCGAATCGAAAATTCTAAAACAGCGTTGGAAAACCTATTATTCCGCATTTAGCCTCCTACCGCGGATATAATTGTTTGAGGCAAATATATCTCCTGAAACTGTTGCGGTAGGGTTCAACGATGGCAACAAGGGGAGGAGGGCCGCGCGCTTTTGTGTCGTTGTCTGTGCTCTCTCGTTGCGATAGCATCCTATTGGTCACGTCCACATTACCATCCCAATCTTCTTCCCTTATTAACATAACACCCAACCCGGTACTTCTCTTAACTTGAGACTTGGCAAAAAACTTCATCCTTTTGGCTCTGAACCAGTTCTTACAAAAAAGGCAAGGCCTCATTGTTCTCTGCTCCACCCTTGGCGTTAGAGACGCAGAGCATAGACAGTGAAGTGGCCCGTCCCAACAACATTGCTACCAAATTCGGCGTTATACCAGTTGAAGTGTTCAGTGTTCAATTGTGCTTTGCTGCATGAGGTTTTCGATGTTCCCTGTACATACATCTACAATAGCCTTCAGTTTGCAGAAAGCTGGAAGCCACATCATCCTGAATTCTTTATCCATTTGTATATCTTTTACAGAAACAAAAAAAANAAAAAAAATTATACCTTCCTTTACCTACCCCGAATTCTCAGAGTACTGGATCTGCTCAATCAGTTACACCTTTTGCCGATCTACATCTTCTAGCCCTACATCACATTTTTTTTTCTTTTTCTTCGGTTAGAGATGGAATGACTATTTTCAAGAGTTTCCCACAATTCCGAAAAAAATTTTACCGATAATTCTATTCAAACGTTAATACATGATAATTCCAATTTGGGATTGCCAATGTATGTTTTATGCTGCTCTCCTGCCGACTGCTTTGGATCAATATCGACTTTTTACCTGTGACGCATGCAGGGCGGGGCGTCGCGGTCAAGGCGTAGGGATCAATCGTAAGCGTAATCGTAACTCATATAAAAGGTAAGGTTGCTTGGCGTCGGCTGTGAGGGACTATGTTGCCAAGCAAAAAACGCCGAAGTCGGACAGCATTTTACGTCCATTTAAGTCCAGCTTCTTATAGAGTTTATGGCGGTGAATTTACGGTATATCGGTGAATGATTGATTAATGAGTTTTTAATAATTTCAAAACAGTAGAGAAAACCGTAAATTTACCGCCATAAGTTCTATAAGTAGTTACACTTAATTGGGCGTAAAATGCGGTAAGACTTCGGCGTTTTTTTTTTGCTTAAATGAGATGCATACGATGAATGTCCTAAAGATGGGGAGAGATTGTGGGCAGTAGTACATCAGAAACGAGATAACCTCAAAAAATCCCTGAACCCCCCACCCCCTCCCCAATTGAGGACACCGTTAGCGAAAGAATTTTCGATGTACACGTACTGCAAGTATACAATCCACTCATCCCCACTCTACCTCTTCAGAGCGGAGAGGTGTAACGGCGTACTCTGAGCAAAGGAATAAGGACAACGGAAGGGATTCGAAGATACAACTCAGTTAGAGGCGGTGCTGCCATAGGAGGCGTTCTTGACAGGCTTGATTGGCCCGTTTCTAAACCTTTTGGGTGCATGGAATATATGGGCCGAGGAAAAGGTGCTCAAGAGCACGGAATGCTATACAGATGGCAACAGGAAACGCAGAAATGGTGTAACTGGGTTCCTATATCCCATTTATCAGTTGCTGGTTGGGCTCCAAGTGAATGACTATGTCCATTGTCCATGTTGGCACCCGATGACCTGATACTTGTTTTGTTATCAAGCAGTTGTTAAAGTTCATTGAATTCAAAGGTCATCTCAAAAGTATTAGAAATCGTCCGAAACCTTCCATCATTCTCTATACAACTCTTCCTTTTTTCAATAGGAATCCCTTTCTATCCAACAACTTCAGGCCGTCACCTTTTTGACAGCTTTGTTTGTCTGATATATGTTCTAGAAGATACTTTTCTAAAGCAGCTATGGTGGTCGGAGGACCAACTATTACTCTTCCCAATGGCGCGAACATGCCTCAAGTTGGATTAGGTACATGGCAGGTTAATGAAGGTTTTAAAAATATTTTTTTTTCGAAGAACTGCCATCCAATGCTGCCTATTGAACCCTTCCGCATATTTTCTATAATCCTCCATGAAAAGCGAAAAAAAATTTTTGCGCACAGACTAAGAGGCTACTCGTATGAAGCCACTTTTCTGCGGTATCTACTTAGGAAGTCTGAGCTGTGTAAGAAAAAATAGAACGAGC